GAAAATATCCATTTTTTACCTTACCTTAAACCTTTAGGCGTGGGTAACATTGATGTTTTGCAATTAAGGCAGAATTGAATTTGCGCTATCTGGGAAGACAGTACCTGTAATATTTATTCTGTGTGTTGGCACTATATCCAAACACAAACGCGTGTTAAGCAAACAGTGAAACAATTTGTTATTTTCTAAATTTGCGAACAAAACTTCACACCTAAATTTAAGGCATTAATAACAAATATTTTGTGAAGAAAATCCCCGCTACGGCCTTCTTTGGAAAAATTATATTCGCTTAAAATAAAAATAAGTGAAATCGGCTCAATTTTATGTAACCCTACCTGACATGAAAATTTTCTCCGCGATAAGGCTAGAAGCCATTTGAATATTTATTTATCTCAAAAGTACGGTAAGATAATAAGGGCCGGTTACCAAATGTCTGGTTAACACTAATCTCCGGTAAAACATCGTTGTCGACGTTACCCACTCCATGTTATATGCATGGAGCCGAACACGTCGATAATGATGTTTAAACGGAGATTAGTGTTAACCAGACATTGAGTAACCGGCGCTAATTATTTTTTTCAGCCCCATTGCGTAAGTCGTAAATTAGGCTAAATTATACGAGTCGACAACAGTAGCATTGTCTATTGTCGTACTGAAAAAAGTAAACGACCAAAATCGTCGAAAACTGTACCGTACAGTGCCAAGTTTTTCCGTTTTAATTCACTAGTCGAGTGGAAATTTTAGGCAATGGCGTGAAATTTTCGATACGATTCGACTCTCGAAAAACGACTTGCATTCGACACGACTCTCGCAATGAGGGTGTTTAATTTTAAACTAAACTTCAATTCTAATGCTTAGCCAACAGTGAAAACTAGGTAAGAAATAGTAAAGCGTAAGGGCCGGTTGTTCAATGTCTGATTAGCACAAATCGGAGGTAGAAGCATCGGTTAGATACAACGACTGCTTTATCGATCACTTGTTATATGCATGCTGTCGAAATCGTCGATAATGATGTTTAACCGGCAAGTAGTGATAACCAGACATTGAACAACCGACCCTAAATGAGCAAGAGCTTACAGAACTAGTAGAGCGTATAAGAACAAGAGCTTACAGAAAAGATGAGAAAAAATAGACGACCTAACTACATATACATTGGTAATTAAGGGCGGTATTATCACTTGCGAAGCGAATGAATTTGGCGAAGCGAACGGTTTGACGAAGCGAATGGATTGGCGGACGCAACTTAAATATGCATTAAGAGTGTTCTTTTTTACCAGCTTGTGGAAGTTCTTTCCATCGCGAACACTTTTAATGCCTTCTCTGCCCCTTAATTTGCTTCGGCAAACCGTTCGCTTCGCCAAAATCATTCGCTTCGCAAGTGATAATACCACCCTAAGTAAAAAGTCAAAAATGGAAACATATCGTCACTAGACACGAATAAAGGCGCGAGCTCAAAAGTTGACCGCGAAAAAAGGCGCATAAAAAAACTTCAGCGAAGAAAGACTCTTAACATGGTTGACGGCGAAAAAAGACGCGTTAAAATATTTGACGGCGAAGAAGGACGCGTAAACTCATTTTCGCGGTCAACTATGTTTGCGGTTGTAATAGTTACTCTGTTGCTTTGAACTTCGGACTAAAACCTGTGGAACTGTCCAACTACAATTTTACTCTCTCAAGTGAGAGTAAAAGGAGAACATATGCAGAAGTTCACAGGAACGCAAAAAGCACTATTTCCTGTAAAAACGTCAGTCGGTTTGTTTACATGTAATTTGTACAACACTGATTTGGCTGAAATATCACTAACTATTAAAATCTATACATATTCAAATATTTCGTTGTTTACTTCCATATTTTCCGCTATCTATTTTGGTTTGCACATGCAAATCAGCTGATCGTTTGACACTTTTCATGAACTTACATGAAATAAAACTCCGGACTAAATCCTGTAACTTCTGACTAAGAACAGTTGCTCAGTTACTGTCTCAAAAGTGTTCCCACTTACAGGTTTTATGTCAATAGGAACGACTTCCTGTAAGTTCTGACTAAATCCTGTAAACCGGACTGCTATTGGAACAGACTAAGGGCCGGTTACTCAATGTGCGGTTACCACTAATCTACGGGTAAACATCGTTATCGACGTCTTCGACTCCATGCATACAACAGGGAGTCGGTAACGTCGATAACAATGTTTAACCGGAGATTAGTGTTAACCAGACATTGAGTAACTGGCCCTAAGTATGTACATTACATGATTCAATAATACAAGGTTCGATAAACTGACAGTTGTCTCTCTCGCACCGCTCCTTTAGCAGTGGCACAGTGTTGCTTCTTTGCAAATTTACTTAGAAAAAGTGTAGCTTTGCTGTGAAATAGAAGTATAGGTAATTCTCTAGGGTGGGGTAACAACCCCTAAAATAGGTGCGGAAAATTCGGGAGGGGTACCAAACGACGCGTTTCGGTCCCCCTAATAACAATCCGGAGGGGGAGGGCTAATATTATTAACCATTTAAAAGTTATGAACAAAAAACTTGTTAAATTTCGTTGTTTTCTATGAGCAATTACACCAACAAAGATTCACAAAATCACCTGTTCTCACTTTTTAAACACTATTAAAATATATAATTTAACTTATTTATTAAAGAAACACATAGTTTTATCAACCTAAGATAGATTATTTTGTTATTAAAAAGAAGTTGACAATCTTTGCGAGCTGAAACGCGAGATTCCAAAATAGCTATAGTGCTGCCACTGTATTAGTATTTCGTAATAATTCACTTTTCCTTATGAGATGTGTGCACTGTTCAATGCTTTTCGGTATCTTCTTTCGTTTAATATATATATAAATAATGAAAATTTTTAATAAAAAATCG